GGGGGGGGGGGGGGTGCCCAGCAAGGCTGCTGGGTGGTGGTTCTGCTGCCATTCAGGCTTTTCCCAGGGCTGGGGGTGTTGCTGCAAAACTCATCCTGGGTGACCTGGGCTCCTGGGAGAGCTGAGGTTGCACCAACAGCTCCTGGGTGTCAGGGTTATGGGGTGGGGGTCACACACACACAGAAACCCCCCAAACCCACCCTCCCAAAAGGGCTGTCCTCACCCAGGGGGGGTTTGCCAGCCTGGAGGATGCCCAGACCCTGCAGCAGCTGGTTGCAATCAGGGTGGAGATCTCCTCTCCTTGGTGGGGACCTTCCCGTGCAGCCTCGCTGGGAGCGTGGGGTGAAGTCAGCAGCCCCACAGCTGCTTCCCCAGGGGGGAAACCACCACCCTGTGACTCAGCCCCTGGCAGCTCCCACCCTTGCTGCCTGGCCCAGGCTGGGAGGTGGGATCTGTCCCCTTCAAACAGGAGGGGTTTTTTTGGGAGGCAGGGGGGGGGGATGCTGGCTTGTTTCAGCCTCCTGGCAGCTCCAGGGCTATATATAGGCAGGAGGGAGAGTGGTGCTGGGACCATCTCTGCCAGGAGACACTGGGGGACACACACACACACACACCAGGCAGCCCCTCCTGCTGCTGCCAGGGTGACAAAGGGACAGATTGGAAGGAAATAAGCACTGGGTACCAGGCTTGGCTGCCCCAAAATCCCCCCTCACACACACACACACACACACTCTCCAGGAAGCCTCGACGTAGCCCAGCTGCAAAGTGCAACCCACTGGGGATGGAAACACCCCCACAAAAACCCCCATCTCAGCCTGCTGGGGCCACCCAGAGCCCTGCCCCACCAGGCAGAACCTGTCCCAGCTCCCTGGGGTGCCCCGAGTCCCCGGCAGGGCCCTGCTGAGTCAGGGCTGGTATGTCAGCGATCCGGTTACTGCCTTCCCCGACGTGCCAGGCTGAGACACTCTTGGTTTCCACCCCAGCACGGTGGCCCGTTTCCCAGTTCCCTCCCTGACGGGGCATCCCACGGAACCGTGTTGCGAGGGTGGGTTTAGTGCCCGCACCCTGGGAAGAACTGGTGGGTGCTGAACGGGAGCACCACCACCTCCTCCCTCCTCCTGTGGCTGGGGAGGTTTTCCAGCAGCCCTGAAACCTGGGAATCTGCAGGAAGGGAGCCAGCAGGGTATCCCCTTCATCTCCCTGGGGAGAAGGAGCTGCTGGGTGCCCACGGGCAGGGCACCTGCACCCTCACACCTGCCCCGCCGTTGCTGGGTGGAGGGTGCAGGGTGGACCAGCTTCCCCTTCTCCCAGGGGAACAGCAGGGAAAGGGAGGGCATGGATGCAGCTGCAGAGCCCTTTGGCCGTTCCCTCGAGCTGGGAGGAAAGCCAGGGGGGGCTGCCAGGCCCCTCTTCTGAGCCCCTCCCCTGCTGCTTTTCAGGCTTGGCCTCTCTCAGTGGCGTGGGGGCCGAAGGCAACGTCACCGAGGGGCTCACCTGTGGCACGGCCGGGGGCTGCACAGGTAAGGCAGGTGGGACTGGGATTCTTTGCTGGGAGGGTGGTGAGACCCAGGTTGCCCAGGGAAGCTGTGGCTGCCCCATCCCTG